GATACGTTTTGCTAGTGGTCGGAACGAAGCTCGTTAAAAAGCCGGCATCCTAGCCTGACTCAAATGACTTCAGAATAGACTACACAATAATCAGAATCACAACTGGAGTCAATTCCGATTAGCGAAAGAGTATTAGTCTTTCGCATCTGTCGAAATATCGCATGATCAACGGCGTCTACTGTACTTGTTGCAAAATCAGCAAGATCATGGTATATTGCCGCGTAGGCTAATCAATAGAGTTACCAGTTTGGCACATCCAATGGGAAGCAAAAAGGCGGAAGAAATGCGCAGACCTAGGAATTGTATGTTATCCAAGGAAAATTTCCATTAACCACGTGCTCCAAATGCTTTCATAGGTCAGGTTTCATTCACCATATATAGGCTGCCCACAGTTAACGCAGTGTACTAGTTATTCGTGCCCGACCTCCGTCTACATTTTAATCGTATTTAAACTTTCCCTTATAGGACAGTTTTAATACACCTGATGCTCTCTTAACAATCAATATGTACTCTAGTTGAACCAATTGTGAAAAAATTCCCCCCGACGCCGCAAGTTATTCCCAATTGGGTCAACTAAAATTAAAAAAATCTGCTAAAACAATGAAGTCAGCATGGTAGTACTTGTGATGTATTCTAGATTATTGCTTAGGAAATCCTGCTTGGGCATTCAGCTTGCTGTTCCGTAATGTTGGATTCCATACGAGCTGTTAGTTGGGCGGGTAAAATCGATCCCAGTGTGGTTAAATTCATGGCGCAAGGCGTGGCGTCGTAGCCCAAATCAATAGAGCGTTGACTGCGTAAAGGCCTTCCCTGCTGTGCGGGTTCGACTCCCGCCGATACTGCGAGTTTTTTTCAAAAAATGGGTCAAGTAAAATTAATTAAATCTTCCAAAACCCCTTAACAATACGTATTCTAGTTAGCATGTGTGTCAGCTTAACGCTTAAAGCGAATGTACCGAAAACACGATTTGATGGTGCTATTAGCCATAGCGTTTTGGTAAGATTGAAAGTCATCTACCATCTTGCACCTTGAAAGCAACTCCCAGCCCCCACTCTTTTCCCGCGAACGCGGCAGCACCAACCCCATGTCTTCCTTGCTGCTGAATGCAGCTCATAATGCCCGCGAAACCTTTACCAAGAGAAACAACCTAAATATTTCATCTCATAAAAACTTGCGCATTTCTAAACTAGGTCAACCATCGGCTGAACCATTATAAGCGAATAAATTTAATATGGTCAACGTACTGACGAACTCATCATTTTTCGAGGTCGATAAGCAAATGCACGCGTTGACCAGGCCTATCATGTACGCGTTGAGTTCAGATGAGAAGACGGCTATGTTCCAGTCTTCTAAAGTGTTGACATTCCCAAGGTCTCTACTGAGTATGAAACCGAGTACCGTTTTTTCCTGAAAAATCCAATTTTATGTATACTGCTTTTTAGTCGAAGGAAATTGCATCCTTGTCAGAATTCACAAAATCCAGCACAATTTTTCAGCAATTAAAAAAGCAGATAAATCTTGCGCATCCTCTACTTTCTAGTAACTGACGAACTTCGTGACACACATGCCCGAGTCGTTGCCGAAAACAAACGCTATCTTAAGGAACTGGAACATCTGCAGGAGGAGTTCGATCAGTACAAGGCCGAAAATAACATGGAGGAGGTCGGAAAACAGGTGCGCTAAACTGCAATGCTGGTATACAATACTGTTATTTTTGCAGCCTTTCTGAAAAGCCTTCACTTTAACAAAACATCTCGGGCAGCGGCAATAGATTACGCAGTACACCTAAGGCACGCAAACGCCAGAATAGTCTAATGTGGAGCTAGAAGTAATGAGGTTTTTATGGGTGAGAAGTTACGACGAAAAATCAACAGTAAGTATTGAAGTTAGTGTAAAAAGTTGTCAAATATAATCAAATTTATTCTCCTAAGCCGATGTATAGCAGCCAATTAGAGCTAGGGGCTAGAGTTTATTTCTAGTATATAAAGTTAACTTTAGTAAACTCCCTTAATATTTGATTGACCTGTAGTCTATCCGAGGCCAAAGCAAGCTAGAAGCAGTCTGTGATCTTTGCAATACGCCTTATACGGCCAGATGTAACTCGAAGCAATCCGTCACTTGGTATAACAATTAGAAAAAAGTATTCGATGATTACTTAAACTGTGGGGGTGCAGTTGGGATAATCAACGTAAACCGGTATATGGTCGCGCTAGGAACGGTCAACCATTAGCAATTAGCAGCAATAGGATGAGGTGAACGATGCTTACTAAATCTACTACAACGCATATACTAGTTCGCTAAATATATCACACCGTTGCATCTTTAACAACCCACTGTTACCGCATCCCGACTGTTAGAGCCCGCTGCATGTCTCAAGCATATTACATCTTTGCACAGTTGCAAGCAAAAATGGAACCTGTTGTTTCCTACTGCTTTAGCTTTTGGTGGCCCTAAAGCCCGTTTTGCCAAATTTGCTTTAAATAGATTGCAGAGAAGGATCTCAAGATTTCCCAGTTGGAGGTTGCACAGCACCACGCTAAATCCGATATTGAAATCCTCAACGTTCGTCTGCAGAATGCGAATTCGCTGTTGGAGGAGGTAATTCCTTTATTCTTCCACCCTCTCCACCTCTTCTCTATTACTTGACATCTACTGCTATTGACTACGCCTATTGGTTCCTTATGTAGAACGAACAGAGGTTGAGGGTTACAACCAAAGAACGACAGAACCTTGTGCACCGCATTGCCCAGTTGGAAACGGAGCGCGACACGGCGGT